TGTGCATATCTATTACTGAGTTGCTTTATGCGATAACTCATTTGCAACACATTAAATCTCATTCTTCTGTTTCCTCTTAACTTGAATTCCACTTTCATTGTGGAGTACAGTTCCACTGTACACACCATGGAATTTCGTTCACTGAAACACATTTTGAATAAACTTCACGTAAATATTTCAACTGGTAACAGGGTACAATCCTGAGTGCTTAATTTTCGTAATCAATATAGACAAATTGTGGGGACGCATATGAAGATAGTATGTGGAACGATATGATTTTGTTAATGTGCGTCATTGTGATGACAGTTTCTATATACACTGGCAACGTATAACTCATCGAAGCTGGGCCTCTGACTGTGATTAACTACATCACGTAGCCTACTCTGAGGAGTGAAAAGAGGAAGGTGTACGTCTAACCGACAAAGAAAGCCTATCAAATCTGAATTTCTCAGAGAATTTTCACACCATTGCTCATAATCTCGAAGTATCAAGTCAAGATAGACCGAACTCGCAGAGGAAACGTGAGTGGGGAGTAGCTTCCTTTGTTAATACCAAATATTTGGCACCCAACCACGTATGTCTAAATCTTTCCAATAACAATATAGATCGCATCATCGTCCAAAACATTCGAATGAATGTTCTGGCCTGTACACATCAGATATTTATCTCGCACCCGACTGCAGTTTCTCAGGTATCACCACTATCCAGAATATACTCCTCTCAGCCTCTAGGCTTCTTTATTTTAATTCTTGTGAACACATCTTGCCAAGATGAAGTGATCCATAGAATGGTGTCCAAATTACCAGTCGTCTAGTTAAAGCACCAGACTTCCAATCCATAAGTGATTTTACAGCTTGCATAGTGTTCTAGGTGTATTGTTTCAATCTGAAATTAAGGTGATTAGCAACAACTGCATTCACCATAATGACAAGGTTGCCTGCGTTTAGTCACCTGCTGATGCAGACTGATCATCCACGTAGAAGTGTGTATTTCTACAGAACAAACATTTCATATGATACAAGCACACACGCACTTTTAAGCTTGTCCGACTCAATAGAAGTCTGATGCTACTGACATCATCCTTATATCTCTGTAATATCCTGTCTGCAGGCAAAAGAATTCACAAAGACACATTGCGAACATCTTCAATGGCCTGAGTCATTCATTGTCAAACACAACATTTATCGTTCATGGTGTCACACACACACGAGACTACTCATATCATGTGTAACACTTCATTGATTTCGAAAGCCTACGAAATATCACTAATGAATTATTATTCGTATGCCCAACTGATTGGTGAAGCTTTCAAGCATATGTATTCAGGTGACACATTCGTGCTCCACTGAAACCTTCCACAGCTATGTATCTATTTTTCAAAACTATATGAGAGTGTGAGTCTCTGAATCTACCATATATCTCTGACAATGTAGATCGATTGAGGCACTCACTTATGATTGTGGTATGCTGGGCTGAAAATTGGATGACCGCGCTCACATTAAAACCTTATCATTGACAAGATATTTATTGTATTCAGAAAGGGTAAATCGTATTTTGACCACCGTATAACTCCTCTTCTTCTTCCTCACCTTCTCAGAAATACTTCAGTGTAGAGTCAGTTTGAAAAACAGTGATATATATATATAAATGTATATTTGAAGGTGGTGATGTTTACAGGTATATTGTATTTGTTTTTCTCAGTGTCTAAGACGGTTTGTTTTCTTATTACAGAACACGAATATCAGTGTGAATGTCTGTGCAAGTATTGGCACACTTCATATGAGAAAGAGAAACAATGAATAACTTTTCATTATTAAGAAGAACTGGAAATCACAAAAATCAGTAGGCCGAACAAGTTGATCGTACAAAACCAGATGATGAACGCTGTGGTAAATTCTTCGGCAATGCAATCCATCGCCCAAGCGATCAAGCTGCGATTATCGACAAAATGATTAATAACTACAATGTAGAGAAAGAGAAAGATTATTGACAGAGATGAGTGAATACAGGCGATGATCTCAAATGTACAGCAATTCAAATTAATTATAATTATCTAGCCAATGTGATAGGACTGTTTCCATATAATGAGAAAGAGAAACAATGATGAACATATCGTCATCAATAGGAACAAGAAATCACAAAAATGATGATAAAACTGTAGAATAAAACTGACTATAGAATGACATCGTCCTATTCAGCTCTTTACCAAAAAAGGTAGGCTGGAAGAAGAATATTACAATCAAAATCACTTTCGACTTTCGGATCATAAATTAGCGGTATTTGGCTCACACCTTAATGATGATTCCGGTTTCAGAATGACATGTCCAATGTGTAATTATTCATCTTATGATTTGACTTCAGTTAGCTGAGTGGGTCGACTAATTACCGCCTGACAACTAGAATGACTCAGCTTGCAACAGTTGAAAATATTATGACCTGATCATTCATCGTTGAGGATGATGACGAAGAAATCCATTGAAGTTCTTTCTTCTCAAATAGAATCATAATCTAAATATCGATGCAGGCATTCCATGTTCTTATCTTGAATGGAATACATCAAAGGCAAAGTCACTAGAGATGTCCAAATCGTATCTGTCAACATGTAAATATCACTTCAGTTCAGAAAACGCTTCATATTATTTCTCACGAATCTGTTTTAGATTTTTATTCATTCAACTGTTTGAATGAAGTAAACTGGCGATTGTCTTATCCCAGGCCATGTTGAATCAACTTCTCGAGACCTACAGTTGATTGATTCCTTCACGTTGTCCTTCCAGTATACACTTTTTGCTAATGCAACAGGTGGATTTACTTTTCCACATTTACGAGTTTCTAAGAGACAACTTGTCTCAGCTTTCAGGTCCTTTCTCATGAGTAAGTAGTAAAACCACGCAGTCATTGTTACATCGTCAATAAGTGAAACAATGAAAGTGGTGTGAATCACAGGAATGATCACTTTGACGAGGTATTCGTGGGTGTGAATGCTTTCACATTCCACCACAAATGACATTCATTCAGTTAAAAACAAGTTAGCTTAAATCCTCACAAATTTTAGAAGTGATAAAAAATGACACTTACTGCAATTGAAAGCATGACATAGACAACGACTGGTCGTGATCGAATTTTCGGCACCAATACGAATATCAAGAGCACAAGGAAACCGACTCCTCTGAAATGAATTCACAAACAACAACAATTTTTTTCAGGATTGTAAGTTTACTTCTCATACAGCCACAATTAAGTCTATTTACATGCGTTTATCACAGCTTTTCTTCGCCTGTTACTTTCTTAACAGCTAGACAATGGTGACATCGTGCTTGAGTTCCCAGTTTATCTAAGTTTGTTTTGTATTTCCAGCGGAAAAATTGCATACGACAGGAAAAGTGAAAGACTAGGAAAGTGGCCGAGAAATATATGACCTACATTTCATCAGAGACAAGTTAGACAGGATTGGAATAGAAATCCTTGTGGAGAGGGAACTTAAATTTCAAGTCAAGAAGTAATAACCTATTGACTCTCTCGTCCTATCTATCTCAGTCACTCTTTTTAAATAAATAATGTTAGTAGTGGCTATTCCCATTCACTCATGAAAGTGCAATTGTCCCACTTCTGAAAATGAAATCACCCAAGCGATATCTCCACGTAGCCTCAAGCGTTTCCTTTCCAATTTCATCACGATGTACTCAGATTATGACAAGTCCATGAGACAGAGGAATTCAATTTAAAGTTGTTTACATAGTTTGGTTGGGATCATTCAATAAACCAGATACACTGTTAACCCATACTACGTGCTCGAAATGAAATAATTACTATAAGCAACTGTGAGCCATTTGAATGTTTGAAAAATTCGAGAATATCTACGGTTTTTCTCACTTTGTTATTCATTTTAATCAATTAAATGACGCAATTAAATGACCAAGCTCAAAGAACACGATTACGTTGAGAACCCTCTAAATGAACCAGGAATCAACTCTATTATTTTGACACAAATTGCTTCTTCCATTCGATATAAGCGTCGTTCTTCGATCAATAGCCATCTCAAATGAAGTAATTTTTATTTGCCTCCTGAGTGAATTCGCAGATAACTAAATGTGCCTACTGTTACAATGTGTTACATACATACGTGCATACAAACAACCACATGAGAACAACATGCATAATAAGACGATTATTTGAACAAAATCACTTTGTGTGAAGTGGAATCACATTTAGAGTGAGAATGGACTACGATCCTTCAATATGTAAAAATGCGTCAATAATCATTACAAATATATATATATATAAATATGAAAATACGTGAGAATATTCTCGAACGCACGAAAATTCGAAGCTCGGAGGTACAACAAGTAAGCGAATTTCAGTTATATCTCATCTCTCATTTGCTGTCTGTTTATTTGATGTATTACTAAGTTTGCTCAAATATGAATAGTAAGGTGAATATACGAAGAACGCTCAATCAAATTTATTTGGGTTTTATCTATCTGATCAATGTAGAATATGAGGGTGTGATGACTAGATGTCTAATAAACTCAGAATTCATTGAGGTGTGATAGAGCGAACTGATGTTCGTATTTATCCTCCCCAGTCTTGTAGCAATGTGTCATCGTCTGATACTTGTATGCATATATTGACTCTGTATATATGGCCAAATGAAACTAGTTTTTCTCTGATGATGCAGAAGGGAAACCTCAGTAGGCTGTTCCCTCAAAGTTGATATCGTGTATGAGAATCACAAATGAGATTTTCTTCAACCCACTCAATTTCTCAGAGCACACTGATCCATACAATCAGGGACTCCAGCTCGTCGACATTCGCAAACATGTGTATGCCTCAATTGTTTTGGAACCTGAATTATTTTCAAATAATCTGACAGTCATATCCACACCATATTTTCGCTTGGCATATTCGGAAATCGAATCTTCATGACCATTTTCATCATGCATATTCTGAGGTGATTAAGCTACTTCTGCGCCGTTGTCATCTATAATTTTCGTCATCAGTTTCAGCTCATTGGAAAATGTCTTCCGTTTATGATTTGTATGACAATTCCACATATAAGAACGAAAGGCTACAGCGAACTACTTCACGTTTCAACTTTTGGGTAAGATGAAACTGTATTGAAGAGTGAGTAATTTTATTTTTAGATTCTCATAGATACACTTCTTATGATAATGGTGACAGCTGGTGTTGTCCTCTTATTTACTTTCGTGTAAGAATACATAAAATTTTCCAATGAAATATTATCTTGGTTGTAGGGACGTGATTTGGAAATTCTTCAAAAGGGATTCCTGGGTAAAATTTACCATTTTGTAAGTTCTCTGTTCAACATTATTTCTCGAATGTTCGATTGAACTCTTCACACCTTGACAAGTGGAATTCATTTGTGATACAGAGCAGTAATCCACTTCACAGCACACTCGATCACTAAATTAGTATTTACTGAATTGTCAGAAAAAGGGGAGTTCTAATTTATATTAAGGCCCAAAGGTCTGGCATAGTCTGGTGTTAATCTGTATTAAGATCATCCATTAGACATTTTGCTAATAAATTTGAATTTCAGTAAAGTGTGTAATTAAGCTCCAAGGATAGATATAAAAACAACTGATTCATACAATAATCACTGGAATGTATTTTTGAGATTAGAGTATTCGTAGAAACACGATCGCAGAAAATTCTGTAATAGAGAAGTCTCCAGCAGTAGTGGACATCACAATAATCAATACAATATGTCAAGAATCCAATTAAAGTTTCGTCATGAATATTATTCATATGGTGACATGATGCAAACCATTTGTCAAGATTTTATTCGATAATTTCGCTGAAACTTCTGAAAAGCTGATATTAAAACGTAAGTTAAAGTCATATGTGTAAAAATAATTATTGATACGTAATTGTAACCTCTAGCTCGACAGATTGGAAATGACGGAAGGTAAATCGTCTCAGGTATAAATCACAGGGTGCATTTGGGCCCTAATTTCGTTGACAAAATCAACACAAACAATTCAGTGAAGAGTCTCTTTTCAATGAATTCCTTTCCTTTGCTTGAACAGTCGCATTAAGAAAGATCCATCAGTAGGTTACCCACAGGGAACGACTAAACTTAAACTTTAACAAATGGAAGAATCGTCACAAGTTGGTTGGTTATATTAATGAGTGCATATAAGAAGTTGAATAAGGTCGACAGAAATACCTATTGAGATAAGAAAAGTTACTATGTAAATTTTGATAAGAATGGACATGGAAACAAAGGAAATACTATGTTCCATTCACGGCCAATGACATCTTCCACATACAAAAATATGGGATTTCATTTAGATCTCACGTGGGTTCGTTGCAAGCAGCCTGTTTCATGACAAGTCACAGGAATGATCCACGTAAGTTAAATATTGATAGGTTTCAATTGTGTCCTAGATATATGGATGACATTTTCATTAACCCTGATGATAGTCATGATCACAATTATTAGTGTTACACATGTTCAACATCTGTAATCGACCGACAAGGCTGACTGTTTCAGTAGAAGATGAATCTTCAATGCCTTTTCATGAGGTTGAATTAACACGAAGAGCCTACGGATATTTTAAAGGATCGATCAATAAGAGAGCAACATTGAACAGCCAACTGATAAGTTTCCACAGCTGAATATCAAATGAACGTGAATTGAGGCAAAGTATTCCTCAAGCCACTGGCATCAGACACATCTGTAGCTCAAATGCTCTGAAAAAAGAATTAGACTTTTCAGAAAGAAATCTCCTAAAACTGACATACACCGAGCCTTATCGCGAAAAAATTCAAAAGCTTAACAAGTAATCCGTGCAAGAAATGAACGTTTCAGATGAACTTTGACTTAAGCGGTAACCTACTTGTTGATGTTCTTAAGAGAGGAATTTCGGTTTCCGCGAAGAGAACTCCCTTCACAGAAACGCTGAGAGTGGTGTTCGTCATTTGGCCACTCGAATGAAGGATCCTAAAGGACGAGATCTCACATCTGACCACTTCTATGTGCACACGTCAGTTCACCTGTTCTTGTGGAGCCAGATTTATGCATCGCTCAACGCGAATGTTATTGTTTTCATTCAAATATGTTTGATTACTTCATTCGCCTGACCGTTTCTGACTCACCTCTCCTCTGGAACTACTAGGTAACATGAGATTCTCTTTGTTTTTCTCTATGCATCCTGATTAAAATACACCTGCTAAATTATATATCCCACATTTTCATAAAGGTGGCCTGCTCAAATCGACGGGCTATCAGATTTCACATCCATTGAAATGCCCAATTTCTACAGTATTTCTGATTGTTATGACTATGCAATTGTATCAGATGATCACTACGTGTACTCGCCCACATATTGAGTTAGTTTTCAACGGAAGGATGCTCATTTCACTGAGGAAATAAATGAACAAAAATGTGCACAGTTGGTTCTCTCTTCCTATGGAACAAAGCTATATCACACGACATACTTCAGATTGTCACTTAACATGTAAATCCTGTAGGAAGATAAAATATTTCGGAAGGCCGAAAATTTCTGCACTCTGTTTTCGAATATTGTCTGAAATATAGACTTGTTATTATTGTATAATTCTACCCCCCATATTCGACTTCTCATTTGCATTGAATACTAATGGCAACTGTGGATGTGTGTTGTGATTCTTCCCTTTGTCACTGTTCAGAACCTTGCTGAATTCTATTGTGCAGCTTAAGAAAGTCAATTCATCGAGAAGAGATTCTCCACTGAACTGCTTGTACTGATTTTGTCAGCGATATTAGGGTCCAGATGACCCTTTTAATTATAGTTTAGATGTTGTATTTTCCAGTATTTCCAATCTGTCGTCAGAGTTATTGGAATTATTTGTCAATTATTATTTCTACAAATATGACTTTTTCCAACTTTGAGATATCAGCTGATCAGAAGTTTTAGCGAAATTATCGAATAAAATCTTGACAAATGGTTTGCATCATGTCACCATATGAATAATATTCATGGCGATAATTTAGTTGAATTCTTGACACATGATATTGATTATTGTGATGTCCATGACTACTGAAGACTTCTCCGTTACTAACGTTCTGTGAAATGATTTCTAGAAATACTGCACACAATAAACGTCTTCGCAGCGATTATTCATTTAGTCATTTGCTTCTATCTAAGTGAGTCATTGTCCTATCTCGATAACCACATCTGATTGTGCTCAGACATGCACTGAGAAGTTTCGTATTTTATTTGACGGTCAGTAGAACTAGCCACACAGGACCAAGTTTATTTATAAACAAACATGGAGGGGGCCTGAGTTGTTGGTTTACACTTTCCACAACTGTTGGACTACTTACGACTGGACAGTGGATCAACCTAAGTCAGTTTACAACTAATTTCAACCTTCTGTGGCTTACTTCGACTCGAGGTAATAGTTGTTCAGCCGAGTTAATTCGGGCCTTAACTACAGTCACTTTGGTGATAAAGAGATTCGCCGAATAATAATGACAATGATAACTGGGGTATCTGTCCGAATGTCTTCACTTTCAGATGATATTAGGTTTTCGTCTATCATCTGGTTGTCGTCCGACAAACCAGTTAAGAAACATCAAATTATGTGCGAAAACGGCTCAACATATTTCTGAAGCTTAACACTGTTTAGGATGTTGTTTCTAACTTGAAGGTTTTCATCTAGGACTCTACATTTAATGATTTCCAAAGGTGTTATCTACGTATCTCGGACGATCAGAGCATCTCACAATTGCAGCTGTTTTGAATGAGTGAATGCACAGATTGGTCAGTGATGGCGATACTGGTTGTTGCATAATAATACCATCTGTTTCACGTGTAGATATCTCCTCTATATTTGAACACTGTTTGATCTGAACACGCTTCTAGTGAATTCATAATTTCTCCTTTCCCTGAAAGACATCGAACGCATAGTCCACTGTCTGAAAATGGTGAATGAATAAGACTTGGAAATATTTCATCTCATCCAATATAGATTGATACAGTTCTGCTCTCAGATTCCTGCAAATTTCTATACTCAATACATGGCTTGCATTTCATATAAATTTGGTATTCAAGGAGTGTATGTTAAAGCATTGTGTGTTAGAGAGTTAGTAGGTAATAAAGATGGACATAATGGATGATCTGGTTCGTAAATATTTTGCAATTCATCAGATCTACACCGATGGAAACATTTTGGTGCAGGTTATCTCTACAGTGACACTTTGATTTCCCGTTTAACAACTCGGAGATTTTGATTGTTTCAGCTTTTAATATTTGCAAACTTCCACTTCACTCTGTCTCATCGTCTTTTACGCAGCGTTCAGTGCTACGATTTTCCGTAAATACTTTTGCTTCCTGATGAGGTTGAAATAATTTATATGAGTTCTCTTGTGTTTTCCGGCGTCTAAATTTAAGTCAAATATTGATCATAGTTGGTATAAAAGACAAAACAATTTAGTTGCAATTTTGTCATTTGTGTTATTGCTTCCTCATAGGAACAACTTTCATTCTACTGATCATAAAATATTTTCGATTCTACAACATCCCCACCTAAAGTCACTTTGTCTAATCTTCAGTTAAATTATCCTTATATCAAGGGCTCTTGAGAAATGGAAATTTTCAATTACAGCAGTCTCCTCTGACTTGCTTTCATTTTCTCATGTCATTTGTGAACCACATGCGACGATTTGTTTTCAGTCATTTGTCGACTCAGCAGAGAGATTAAGCCAGGTACCGTAGCATTTATGTTTTCCGTTGCTCAGAAAACAGTGAGGTTCACTACATCATCAAATCAGAGATTTCCGGCTACATTGAAAACGAACGAGTGATTTCATGAAGCACCGGGCGAATGAAGCCTGTGACAAATGGAAACTTGACGTCACAACCGAAGAATGGAGTCGATATACCGAGATCATAACACTGAAAATCATTTCTATTGAAAATGCAACTTGATTATTATGAGCTGTGATACACTAACCAAAATAACACACAATTCCGATTAACTGTGTAATATCTGTGATGAATTGTTGATATTTGTGAATTCATTTCAGAGGAGTCAGTTCATTTGTGCTCTTGATATTCGCATTCGTGCCAAAAGTTCGATCACGACCAATTGGTGTCTATATCATGCTTTCAATTGTAGTAAGTGTCATTTTTTAAACCCAGCAAAAATTGTGAGGATTTACGCTAACTTGTTTTCGACTGAATGGATGTCATTTGGCGTGGTATTTGAATCGGTCTACACTCATCTCTAGTGACTCTGCCTTTGATGTATTCCATCCAAGAGAAAAACATATAATGCCAGCTCCGAAATTCAGATTATGATTCCATTTGACAACAAAGAACTTCATTAGAATACATCGTCATCATCCTCAACGATGGATGATGAGGTCAAAATATTTTCAACTGTTGAAACCTTAGCCATTCTAGTTGTCAGGCGGTAATTAGTCGGCCAGTGCAGCTAACTGCAGTTTGCAGAGGTAACTCTTGTCAACATGTATAGGATGATCCACAGTTCACTGAATGACAGTAACTTCTAACGGATTGTTGATTTTTGTTTGATCGTCAGTGATGAGAATGTGGCTTATCTGTTTGTCCATACAGTGTTGAAAATTTATTGTATTTCTGTAGTAATTGTAAATATGTGTGTCTATATATATGTATAAGAATCTATCTAGTGTGATCACATGTTCTCATCTCGCTTTCCCCTTTGTCATAGATCGCAATGTGGTCTGTGGTATTGGCTGCTCTTTTGTCACCTGTTGGACTGAAAGCTGGACTCATATCTCTGGCCTGTATACTTGTGGTGGAAATTCCAGTAGTTTTGACGGCTTTGCTCTTGCCTCGACTGAACGGGAAGGGGTTGGTAGTGTTTTACTATGTGGCATGGACGTTGGCGATTGTGGGAGTCATTTTGATCATTTTCTATGTGTTCTTCGAACAACAAGTAATTGCATGAATTAATGTCTATAATGCATCAATTATTTGTATATTATTTGTCAAAAGATATAAAATCTTTACTTCATTCAGAAATATCCCACTGCATCCGAATTCCAGTATCAATTCCACACTTTGGAATCTCATTTGATTCCTCCCAGGAGGAAGAGCGAAGCAGGAACGTCGAATATAAGAGGATGAGATGACGTCATTTCGTGAATGAAACGAGGAAGAGATCTCATAAGGAATTGGTTTGCGCTTTAAGCCAGACAGCTATGTGTCCCACCATCTACTGTCACTTACTACTGTATTTAAAGATCCTGGACAAGTGGAAACTATTATGCGATGCTTTCCACTGAAAATTCTGTGCATTATATGAACACTGTTCACACTCAGACTAACGTTGCTCTTATCATTTCACAGTCTCTTCCTAGTGTCTCCTAGTGCGGTGACAAGGAACAACTGATGGGAGCATCAGGGACGAATTCCTCGAATAATGAAATTTGTATTTAAAGAATATTAGGCGAAAACTGACAGCGGAAACCATCATTGCTCCAATTTCCTCAATCCAACAATACAAATCAAAACTATGTGCGCAAAAATAGCCAGTGTTAGACCTTGATTTATCCTGCCCATTAAACTCACAAAGCCAAGTAGTAGAATGTCAATCATGTCATGGTTTCTCTACTGACGCCTCTTGTTCACTCCAGAAGATACCACTTTCTCATTTCAAAGTCAGTCTGACTGCTTCTGACCTGCTGGTTTATGAAAGGTCATTTTCGCTAGTTAGGTAACCAATTGCATCCTCATTTTCATGCATGTCAAATATTGTTAACATTCAAAACAGCTTACAGTGAGTTTGGTTTCAAGAATATCCTACTGGTCATCCTATAAATAGTCAACATTCTCGAATATTGGACATATTCAACTGATTACATCATTCCGGGATAATGTCATTAATAGTTCCCATCCACAACTGTTTATCATCGCCTCACAACTACATGAAATCTTCCATATACTCCATATTTTTGAATGGATCAGGTTTTAGGCACCTGGAGGGTAAGGCGTGAGAGGATGAACGAAATCATTTCATCCTGATACACTTGTCGTTCATGCTGTCTTTTCGAATTCTACATTTTGATTGGAAGAGTGAAGAACGATTTGATATATTAGCACCTAACGTCGTCAATTTCCTTGTCACGTATACATATGGAATATAGCTCATTTGGCAACATTTCTCTGGTGTGACTGTCACATTCCGCGGAATATATATTGGACTAGCAGGGATGCGACTGTAGTCGAAGTGGCTCAGTGAGTAATGACATTTCTGTTGTCAGGTAAGAAATGTGAAGTGATGCAGTTGTTATATTTATTGAGTGAATGATATACATTCGCATATTTCAGCCTCACTACATGCAGCCAGTGTCCCTGACAGGTGTGATTTAACTGTCAGCATGTTTCGATAATAGTCAATGTCCACAGATCTCAGATCAGTAGATATGTCAATGTTGTAATTTGCATAGATTAACAAAGCTTGAGTGTACCTCTTCCCTGATGATTTATTTCTTTCTCCTCGCAGATAATTTTAGCTCTGGCAGTAGCTTTCTGTATATTATTCATACTCTTCGTAAGTTTGTTATTTTATCGTTGTATCAACCATGTTTATTTTGACGAGTAAATTACACGAATCACATCAGTTATTTGATAGTCGCAGAATTCCAGTGTGAATCACAGTATTGCTGAGTCGATTTGTGTTCATATTACATCACGAGGCACGTGAACCTATCCACGATATTTGAGAGTGCATTTTCAGAGTAGATGACGTTGTACACTGTTGCACTTGACGGATTTCTAAATCACTGAAATTATGGTAGATTCACGCTTTTCACTGAGATGTATTAGTCATGATTCGAATTTATGCGAGTTCTGAATAATTAGACAACTAGCTCCTAGTGATTGTATCATACGAATTCGGGTTGTGTGTTTGTGGGAAATGGCTGGATTATTAGGCAGCTTGTATTATTTAGATTGAATGATATTTGTCAATGATTTCATAGTCCCTCAGCAGCCGTACGCACTCACATTTAGGGATTTTCAACAACCTCACTGTGCATGTGAGACTGACAAATCATAAAATGAATAATTACACACTCGACCCATCATTCTGAAACTGGAATCTTTGAACTGAATTCTCACTAGAATATTGACAACAAGCAGACATCTGCTGATGTATGATCTGAAAACCGACAGTGAATGTGTAAGTAATTCTTTATTGATCCAGGTGTATATATTTCATCATATGAAAACAATCCTATCACATTAGCTAGACAATTATAATTTGTTTATTACAGTGAAATATGAATTGCTGTACACTTGAGATGGTCACCTTTATTCACTCATCTCTGTCAAGGATCTTCCTCTTTCTCTACATTGTAGTTTTTGTTCACTTGTGTCAATAATCACGACTTGATCGGTTGGTTGGTGAATTTCAGTGCCGTGGAATTTACCACAGCGTTCATCATTTGGTCTTGTACGATCTGCATTTTCGGCTTGTCAGAAAGCAGTTTGGCATTCTTCTTCAATGAAACAAAACAACAGTCTGGTTTGTGAAATTCTTCTTCCGGCTTACATTTATTGGCAGACAGTAGAATGGGACGATGTCACTCTGTGGGCATCTTCATTTTAATTTTGATTTTTGTGATTTCTAGTTCCTCTTCAAGAGAGAATGTTAATCATAGTTTACCTTTCTCATATGAAGTGTGCTATTACTTGCACAGACATTTACACTGATATTCGTCTTCTTTAATAAGAACACAAACTGTCTTTTTTCAAAATAAGTAATTTCATTATTTACTGAAGTAAAATATTCATTTTTGATATGCGTTTATCGAGTAACGAAAAGTACACTGGATATGATCGGAATCAGAATGAAAATCACCACATGAGTACTCCTCCTTAAGTGAGCAACTCAGAAGTGAAATGTCGCTGAAATCTACTTAGTGGTTATAGCTACTAGTTTCTAGGTTCGCTGCTTCTGAGAATATTCACATGTATTTTCACATAAATATTTCGATTTCATTGATTATAACCGACAGAATTACACATATTGAGAGATCGTAGTCCATTCTCATTCACAAATTGATTCCACCCCACATGAAATGAATTTTGTCACAATTATCGTATTGTGTACGGATTTTTCATGTGATTCTTTGTATGTATGTAACACAGGGTAATAATAATAATCTGCTTAATTCCAAACCACTACTTACAATACAGAATAGATTCCTCAGTACTTGCCACAGAATTGTATCTGATTTACTCAAAATACAAAAAGAATTAAAAATTACAACAAAATTAGCCATAGGAATTTGTCCACATTGACGAAATTAAGTCAAAAATATTCGAAGTTAGAATTGAGAATAATAAATGTAATAATACTAACAAAAACAGTGAGTTTGTTTCAAACAGTATTGTCGATTCAGTTTGGGAATTGAAGCATGTTATAGAGTATTGAATGTAATGTGCTGTTCATACAGTATGGTGAGAGGAAAAACGCAATTAACAGTTATAACACAGCTTAAATGATATTCACCCTAATGAAAAAATAAACAAATGAAACACAAAATTTAAAGGATTATAAATATAAGAAGTAAAATAACAATAAAGTTGATGTTGTAAAGAAGGAGGAAATGTTTCATTGAATAGTGCAAAGAAGGTTAGTTAGTCAGTTCATGCCTAACACTATTTTTCTCACATAAACTACGTGCGAAATATGGTATAACGGAATTTTTATACTAAGACGTACCTGTACAAAGTCGTTTGAAAAGACTTCTTGTTTTACCTGGGGAGACACAAGTTTGGAGCTGTGGGTGCTGCTATGGATGCTCACAGTCTGACAAAATACTTTTAGCCTAATTGTCGCGTGAACTCAATTGCCTATCAATGACAATTTCGACGATATGGCCCAATGAGATGCCACTCACCCGACTGACAGTCTTCAGAGTCCTAAGAATTATGACATAGTCTATTTAGGCAATCCGGGAAGGAATAAGATGGAGCAGTAAAGAAGAATGGGTAAGATGCACGAGTTGACAAACTGTGAGAGGCGAGGTTGGGTTATGCCTGAGTGCCTTAACTTCTTGATGTAAAATGTCAGACGACATAATCTTTTAGAAATCGCTAAGACATGGGAAGACCAGGATTAGTCGGAAGGATTAATTATTCCAAGATACTTTACTTCAGACTTGATTTCTATATCAATATCATAAATTTCGCAAAGGTCGTAGAAATTAACAGCTTCAATTAACTTTCATTTACATCGGAAACTGAAATTAGCTGTCTGACATTTGGAAGAATTTAGTTAAAGACCAACCATTAGGCAAAGACCATTTGCTTATTCCTGATAGAAGGCTGTTCATCTTAGTACATACAGTGTAGCTGGGAGTTAACAGACATGGAAATAGTTAGATCGTCGGCATACTTAACAAAGTCCACTCCGTCATCAGAGTGAGGCAAGTCATACAAGAAGAAAGAAAACACAAAAGGAGAAAAGGACAACGCCTTGAGGGACATCTGCGTCAGTAAGCGATGAAGTGGACGACTTTCCCGACATACAGTGTACTGCTTTCTTCCTGAGAAATAAGAACTCAGCCATTTGACGATCCAACAGTCAGTTTGACTTTCAGCAAGTTTCTTTAACAAAATGTCTCTAGGTTCTAAATAAAGCAGATGTGTAATCTAGGAAGGTGCAGCGAACAAATTTAGTTTCCTTGTCTAAAGTGGGGAGTGTTATGATGCCAGACTGCAGCTGCATCTGAAGTACTTCTACTGTGTTCACAGGCGAATTGTTTGTCATCGTCGAAGGCTTTAAGTGAACGTTGAAGATTGAGTAGGAGTAACTTTTCCATAGATTTTAGAAAAGGAGAGGTAATAGCAATAATTCTGAATTTAAAACATGTTCGAGTAGATGATTTGTGTATGGGTACAATTTTAATGTCCTTCCAAACTGCTGTCACGACATTTCAGGATAAAGATTCGTTAAATATGTCTATGAGAGGATAACACAGGATATCTGCACACATTTTAAGAATAGCATAAGGCAAACCATCTGGATCTAGACTACAAGAAGTGTTCAGCGACTGGAGACATTTTAGAACGTCATTTGTATTGAAACCAGGGAAGCAGGTTTCATTGACACTGGTAACACTAGAAGGTGTGACATTTGTGGGAGAATGTATGAAAGACTTTTTCAGTGTACACACATCAAAGGAATAAGGAATACTATATATCTACTTACCAACAGTAATTTCTTTGAAACATGTCCATATATTAGAGGTATTTTTACAGGATATAAACTTCTCGTTATAAATTGAATTCAATCGGTGCATTTCAGGCTTGATTAGGATGTTAATTCTTCTCACACCAATGACATCCTTCATTTCATATAACTTTTGTTTTTGCCTGAGAAGCTTTCCAGGTTGAGGAGAGGAAAAACAGTCAAATCTGATGAAGAACGTTTCTCTGGGACAACAGGTGACAAGACAAAATTTGAGATTACATGTGATATTGGAGATAGTGTCATCAAGAGAGTCTTCATTAAACAAGTGCCACCTTGTGGGTTCATGAACACTATCCCACTGCATGACTACAAGAAAGTAGTGGTGGCTGTATTTGGTGTGCGATCTTCGTAAATCTCGTCAACACTGGTCATTTCATCTCATCAAACGCCTCCTGCTTCAAGGTGATCTACAAAGTGAAGAACAACCTATCAAAGACAATACGCATTCGTCTCGTTTGTATTGCTGAAGCCATAGCCATTCATTCAGTTGGAGAAGCCAGAGCTATGCATTCAAAAGAAAATCACCCAACCACTCCTACTATCATGGTAACAAAAGTGTCGCCTTTTACTGATTTCATGTTTGTGTGCTTGTTGGTTCTCTTCTGTAACTCCTTATAACATTTGTGATTCATAGAAAGAATTCTTACATAATTTCATATTTTCCTTTGTTTCTGTGTGTATCCTAATCACTACTCACTCAGTTAACTATTCCTCTTATTTCGTGGATGTATTATCCTTATTCAACTTCTTTTATGCGTTGATTAACGTTGATAACTATGTATTTTGGCAACACATCACTAGCACTCTCTCACTGATCTTCGGCGCCCCACCAATATTCTAACTTCAATTGTGATTAGTAATCAAATTTTTGAAATGTCTTGACAACTATTACACTGACTTATTTTTATACTTATCGGACAAGTCTAATGTACACAAACATGCACACACACACAGAAATAACGATACATAATTGCGATTGTAGAGCTAAGTGAATGAATTCGCCTCCGAGAAGAGACTCTTTGCATGAACTACATGTTTTATTTTCAAAATCATGAAATCAGATCATGTAATCTGTTTTACAATGTAAGTGACATGCTGGTAATAATGATCACTTTATTCAAAACAGCAATGTTCCATTGGTTGTAGTATTTCACCATGAGCTGACATCGGTTAGAAAACCTTGGAAAACCCAGTGAGAGTACTAGACAGTCAGCTGTTTCGTTAGCCTAGTTTGGGACTCTTCTCAGTAAGCACCCATCACCACAACAAGTGCACGAACCAAGGACCTCCTAGTTACAAGGTGAGTGAGCTCGTAGATCACTAAGTCACTTTTACCCGCCAATCCAATGGCCAGACCATGAATTGTAACTTTTGACAATTCACAACATAGCGTGACCATATCGCAATGTCTTCTTCGATGATGAGTAACTGTCCTCGTCTTTGACCTGCTCTACCCTACTGGTCACAGCTTCCCACAAGATCCCCAGGACGCTACCTGAAAAGAGCCAGTTGCTAGTGATCATCAGACAGAATGGAATTCTCAGCATTGTACACAGAGTAACGGTTCACCTCTTTTAACAAAGAAATAAGAAATCAAACTGAGAAGACCGAAGTTATTTGAAAAGTAATTTATGTGTTATGATAATGCTGGTAATGAGTTGCCATTTTATATACAGATTGGAACGTAAGCTGCTAATAAGCTCCTTTCTGACATTTGTCTGTGCACACAATATCACCAATGAACTTTTTAAATATTACTTTAGTGGGCTCCGAGTGGAACACAGAGATTCAATAACACATCTCCACTTTCTTCTATTTTCTGCCGTCCTCTCCAGCTGAATCCAGGTTCACCATCATCTCTCATCTTTTCCCCACCACACGATCTTCTTCATGTCACCCTCGCACTGACGACCCACTCGTCGCTTCCCATTGGGATTCTACTCGAGTGATGGCTCGCATTTCTCGTGATTTCACTCAACTCTCTCCTCAACGTAGGTTTATCCATCTAGATTTTCTCCTCTAAATTTCCTGAGCGATAGGCTATTGGATGGTTTGTTCCAGACAGAGTTTCCTTTTGATAATTCATTCTGGACTGCATTTGAATCTTCAGTATGGAGCCAGAGTAGGCAGATTTTGATGCATATCTGCATTCTGTTGAAAATTCTTTTCGTGACACACATTTCAAGTTCCCTGATGCATATAGAAGGACTGACTGACTGACTTCACATTGGTGTTGGAAATCCGAATCTTGTTGTTTATGCTGACTGGTCGCGTGAAGCCGAAGATTTCCAAACTGGTTTCAGCTTGATGAAGGCGTATTTCGCCTTTCCTATTCTGGCTGGCTGGCTGGCTGCCTTCGACATCTTCTCCTGTGTTTGAAACCGTGGTTCCTAGAAAAGTGAAGAAAGTAACATCTGTTAAGTCCCTCCCGTTGATGGTTATTTATTCTGGATTTGTGGCTGCTTTTGATGGTTGGTTACCTTCATCACCTCCGTCTTTTC